TTTTGGCAGAATCGCTGTAGGACCTAAGCACTATGCTCAATGACCTCAATTGTGTTTCCCAACGGATAGGTCTTAAGATGAACATGGACAAAACAAAGATCATGTTTAATGTCCATGTCACACCTATGCCGGTAGTTGTTGGGAGTACTAAGCTCGAAGTTGTTGACGAGTATGTTTACCTGGGACAAATAGTCAGACTAAGTAAGTCCAACTTCGACCGAGAGGTCAATCGACAGATTCAACTCGGTTGGGCCAGCGTTCGGGAAATTACGGCACATCTTCTCGTCAGGTATATCTCAAAACTTGAAAACGAGACTGTACAACCAGTGCGTGTTGCCAGTGATGACATATGGAACTGATACGTGGTCCTTCACTGCTGGCCGGATGAGGAAGTTCAAGGTCGCTCAGCGAGCTATGGAGAGGGCTATGCTCGGAGTTTCTCTGCGTGATAAACTTAGAAATGAGTATATCCGCAGTAGAACCAGTGACCGACATAACCCAACGGATTAGTAAGCTGAAGTGGCAATGGGCCGGCCATATAGCTCGAAGAACCGACAACCGATGGGGAAAAAAGGTTCTCGAGTGGCAGCCTCGTACTGGCAGGCGAATTGTAGGGCGTTCCCTCACTAGATGGAGTGACGACCTGGTAAGATATACAGGAAGTCGATGGATGCAGGTGGCTCAGGACCGTGCTTTGTGGCATTCCTTGGGGGAGACCTATGTTCAGCAGTGGACTTGTGAAGGGCTGTAATGATGATGATGCTGATGATGATGACGAAGTACGTTCGTAGTACGTTAGTACTTATTTATCTTAGTACTAATGTTACAACAGCGGTCGGACTGTGTAAGTCGTATGACACGATAAAGAAAAACCGAAAACTCAAAGTAGGTTCTAGGAATTCTTTTATTGGTTTCAGCTGTGCATTGATATCAGTCAATCAGCCAGTTTTCTCATGTTTAGATAGGTAGGATCTACGTACAGTAATAATAAGTACCTATTGTAAGCACGAGAATAATTAAGATTATAACAACGTGAACGTCTTTGAAACTCAGATAATTTACTTACTTACCATTTTCTGTTTCACATTTTTTGCTATTTACAAACATGTGACTCGTGACGGCATTATTAATGAAAGAGTAGCAATGAGAAGTGTTCTGTTATTTTCAATCTCTTTCTTTTATTGACAAAGTGTTAACAACAAACTAGTAGATGCTGATCTTGCATTATTCAGCAGTCACTAGCACTAAGAGGTCTACTTATACTGAATATATTTTAAAGTCATTGACATTATACGCAAAAAAGCGAAGTAGACATGTAGGGCACAGGGCATGAAAGCCTAATCGCATGCTCTCTCAAGATCAACCTCTAGTTGCGGATCTATGAAAATTCCTTCGCGCCAACTCAGCATGTCTAATACATTCATAAAATTTGAAATACAGATACCAACGAATGCTACAAACTTAGTTTTTCCCTATCTTTACCCCGTAACTAAAATTAAATTAAAATAAAAACCTTATTAACATAAGATCTGAACAAAACATACAAATATAATCATTTTTCCTTGTTTAACTTGAAAACATGACCATAATAAAGTAATTTATTGATTAGTAGATATATTATAGGGCTATTAAATTTAATGAATGAGTATGTACACCTCCATCAATAAAAATATTTTATAACATAATAAGTACTTATTTAAAAATAGCAAGAATACTTCACATATTGTCTGTAAAGTAAATTTATTATTTTTCCTTAGGACCTATAAAGACTTCCATTTAGGACTTTCATCATCATCATTAGAGCCCCTCAGAAGTTCACTGCTGATCAAAGGCTTCACCCAAGGAATGCCACAAAGCGAGCATTAGAGAACCTTTCTTCCCCATCGATTGTCAGTTCTTCGAGATATGTGGTCGGCCTTCTGCCACTTCATCTTACTAATCCGTTGGACTATGTTAGTCATTTCTAAGTTTTACCCACCCAGAGAAACCCCGAGCATAGCCCTCTCCATAGCTCGCTGAGTTACTTTCAGCATCCTCAGACGGCCAGCAGTGAAGGACCACGTCTCAGATCCATAGGTCATCGATGGCACAAAACACACCCACTGGTTGTACAATCTAGTTTTGAGGTATGCTTGATGAGAAATTATGTCGTAATCCCCCGAACGCTGCCCAGCCAAGTTGAATCCGTCGATTAGTCCAACTTCTCGGTCGAAGTTGGGCTAATCTAATCAGACTATTTGTCCCAGATAAACATACTGTCAACAACTTTGAGCTTAGTGCTCCAGACAACTACCTATATACATATAAAGGTCTCTGCCCACTATAACGTATCATACCATGACCATGCTAGGAGCGTATCAGGCACGAAAAGCAACACGATACGCTCTACTATGCCCACTGAACGGATCGACGGCGTTCTGTGCCCGTATAAATCCCGTATGATGCCAGTATGCAACCCGTATGTAACCCGTATGATGCCCGTATGCAACATGTCTTGGAGTGCTACCAAATTTTTAAATTGTAAAAAATGTATGGCTATCAGAAAATTAACTGTTAGACAACTGGCGATGATTGCTTTAATATTGGATGAGGAACAAGAAGAAAACAAAAAAGCTCTCGGCGCTACTGGATTCATGATTCTAAAGAACGAAAAACCGAAGGAGAGTATTGGACATTATTCAGACACTTAGTTGATGATGAAGAAAAGTTTTTTTCAGTATTTCCGAATTTAATGTTTTGCTGAAAAAAATTGAAAATGATATTGTCAGAAAAAGTTACGGCAACGCGCTTACAACGCCTATATAACGGTCATCATACGCGTTTACAACCCGTATACTCGCCGGCTCGCCGCCTGCGCGCAGCGGCTTGGCAACGTCGCGTGTCATGCACAGAGCGTATCAGCACATGAGTAAAGAATCTTTACTCTGTGGTATCAGCACCGGCAAAATATTCTCGCCGACATTTGTTGACGCTCCGTGCATGGCACGCGGCGGTGTTGTTCGGTGACGGAACGGTCTAGTGGGAACAGTGTCATACTTTTCAATACAAATAACATTTATTTGCCTGACACGTTCCTAGCACGGTCATGGTATGATACGGTGTAGTGGGAAGAGACCTTAAGTGTGACATAGATGCTACACATGACTATTATTTTGTCCACGTTCATCTTAAGACCTATCCGTTGGGAGACATTGTCTATGGGCAACCACTTACCATCAGGTGTACTGTGCTCGTTTGTCACCCTTATACTATTGAAAAAAAAAAGAAAGATGCTGCTGCCCATCTCCTGCCTTAGCCATCGCCCACGACACCCATGGTAAGACTGTAGATGTCACAATAATTTTAAAAATATAATGTATAGGTTAACACTATTTTAGCCATTTGTTATTGTGATGTTGTTTGTTTACCCAATAAATTGATAAAAAATATACCTATTTTAATACTTAAGTTTTTAAAAGATTTAATAATAATAAAAATTACCATAAAACTATTTTTAAACGCTAAAATTGTGTAGGTAGTCATTGCGTAACTAGGCAATAAATGTTTCCTTTTTTACTTATTAAAAGCCAGTGCAACAGTCCAAAACTACTGTGTTCTATCAACTCTGTGGTGTACTGGTACTCAGTTTGGAGAGGGGGTACAGCCTGGATAATTAATAATTACATGCTATGAGGCGTGATTAAATTCTAAGAGATGACCAAATAGAGATGAGAGAGGAGGGAATGTTTGAAGTTGGTCGTAATTGATTGGTTAATTAGAATAATGGATACTTCGCGTTTTTTTTTTTACACCTCATCCATGCTTATTATACATCCATGCTTAAGTTACTGTAATAATAACGTAATATGTTCGACTGACGTCAGTTGCCACTCGTAAATAACGTACCGACATCTGTGATCAATTATTTTATTGCCACTGATTCTGTGGATTATAATTCCTTTTACTGTTGTGGAGCTAGCTCTAGTAGTTTCAGATTAAAGAAAGCTCAAATTTGTAATTTTGCGATTAGTGATGAGTGATTACCAACACTAATGACAATAAGATAAAAGGAAGATCTTGTGGGATAAATATTGACTTTTATGTGCTGAAAAATGATGAAGAAAGCTAACAGGTGCATATGTCAATAAGAGAAATATTTTTGTATCTAGTGGCGCGGGGTATATCCACTATACCGTGGGTGTCGTAAGAGGCGACAGAGGGAAACAAATCAGATGGGCAGCAGCATCTTCCTAATAAAGACTAGAACTAAAAAAAAACTTTGGTTGCCAACCCGCTTGCCAAGCGTGTCAACTATGGCAAATAGGGGAGATCCCTATGAGGCAATTATGGGGGAGGCCTATGATCTGCAGTGAACTTTAATAGGCTAAAACGGTAACTGTGCATACCTACTGAGAGGACTGGAGAGAAGAAAGGCATTTATTTGACGAAGAGTTTTTAACAGATCATATAGTTGTTGCGGTGTACCCGAACAACCTAGCTTGGTTGTCCATAACCGAGGGAAACATCTGCAACACGGACTGATTATAATACCTATGAAAAAATTACGAATCATCATCGCTTATTCTTATTCCTTTGTTACCTTCACGAAAACTGGTCCAATATTAACTTCTTTTCAAAAAACATCAGAATTATGTAAGATTAGATTTAGAAGGTTTGGCTATGTCTGTGGTGTGTACATACATTTCTTTGTTAAATTTATTTGCTTGATGCCATGTCATTGTCATAACAGCGATACAATTTGGCAAATTTAATAATTTTAGAAGCAATTTTTACGATAATTTGTAAAAAACACAACCATACGTAAGATAACATGTGAGTGATATATAAATCTTATCTAATCTAATCATAAATAAAAATTTCTCTAATATCATGGATCCAGGAAGACACCAGAGGAATATGTTTGTACGGACTAAACGCCGATCGGATATTGTCATAAGGTGCATAATATTTAATTCCTAAATTCGTAACGACATGCAAACAAAAATAAAACGCCACTGGTTCCGCCGTCGCATTCCATATATTGCATGAAAACAGAACAATATTCAATAATTTTGTATATAAAAACTGATTTATGATTTAAAACATACATTAAAATTGTTTACAAAATAACATCAATAGAACCGTCAAAGTCAAGTTTAGATTAAGATATTCATATTTTCATCGCAATGAATGCGACCTATACTCTAAATAAAAGAAAAATGAAAAATGAAGAATTAGCGCCACCTATATTATCAAATATGATGATATTCTGTCCCTCGACCGAAGACGTGATAAACGCTGCTCGATGTTAAACTGTTATTGCTATTCGAGATACCAACTAGAATACTTAACTAGCATAACAAGAAAAATCATCAAAATAAAAGGGCTCCTAAACCTCCCGTTGAGCAGTTTTCAATGGACCTGCACTTTTCTCGCACAGTACGGATATTCTTTTCACTAAAATTGGGGGATGGAGCAGTTTTACTTTATTAAGCCTTTAGCCTTAAATAGGTCGCGCATAAGGCCCTTTAGATAACGAATCTCACGCTGTAGATCTGAACATTTGTCGCCGAGCTCTGTATGACGCTGACGCAGCGTCTGCTCTTCATTAAGCAAAACTTCAATCTCAGCCTTCTTCTTCTGACGATAGCGGGTAGCAGCATTCTTATTCTGCTCCTTTTTGCGCGAACGGCGGTCATCTACATTCCGAGAATAAGGTTTAGGTCGAGACGGAGCAGACCATTCTTCGTCGGTTGACGACGAACGCGGCGACGAGGGGGGTGAAGAACGAGGCGAAACACTACCACTGTCGGCTGAACATTGAGGGGATGATAATAGAGCTGCGCGATGACGAACTAGCTCTTCAACAGCTTGGAGATCGCAATCGTATTCAGCTGGCAACACTGACGACGTATGCGCCACTGGCCATTGATCTTGAGCGGCTTGCAAAGGAAGCGTGGGAGCAAGAGGAGCATATTGAGCTTGTTGTGCGTAACTCAGCAGCAACTGAGTAGCAGGGCCAGGCGGACTCTGCGGCGGGGTAAGATGGGTCAGCTCCACCGCACCATACACGGATTCAAATTCTCGTAGGAGTTCTTCCGTCGGCTGTGGCATCACATGACTGTGATAAGAGACCGCTGGAGGCACTGGCGCGGTTTGCAACGGCACCTCAACGCGTTCTGGTACTTGGCTGATGTTTTCGAAGATTGGAAGCTCCACCTTCTCTTCAAGCCAGTTGGGAAAGATGTTTTCTATAAAGAAAAATAAAAGATTGTTAAAATTGATTTCAAGTTATCTTCTCAAAGTTTAATTGTCAGATACAACATGACTTAAATTATCTCTCTTTAATAATTATAATTAATTTTACCGGGCTTTATGAATAAAGGCCGTTAAAGTCTGGGCTGAAGAAAGTCGCGCGTGGCCGCTCAGATATAGTTTTTAGGAACAAATAATCGGTTATAAATAATCAGTTACGTAAATAATCGATTATGATTCAATTTTATTTTATATTTATTGTATAAATGCAACATGTCGTTCTAAATTGCAAATTACAGTGATTATGATGATTCATTCATTAAGTGCATTAAAGATTTTCTTAAAATTTTGAAGTTATAATTATTTTGGGGTTTACTGAAAGAATTTGTTGTCCCCCTGCTAATATCATGTATTTACTATATATTCATACTGTTTATCGTAATTATTTATTAGACATTATTGTTTTATTAAAATAGACAGTGTGGTGGCGGTGTAAGAATATCCACTACCCCATATTATCCCGTGGATGTGATAGAGGCGACAGACGGAAACAAATCAGGAGATGGGCAGCAGCGTCTTCCTAATGACTAAAAATAAAAAATACGGTTGCCAACCCGCTTGGCAAGCGTGGCAACTATGTAAATATCCCCCTAACGAGGCAATCTATGAGAGAGGCCAGTGTTCAGCACTTGACTTTGATAGGCTGTAACGGTTCTATTGAAATACATAAAGATATTTTCATTATAATAATAATTTTCAATTAATTCTATAATCGACACAGACAAAACAAAATGTTTCCCTAAGCAATCTTAGGAGCGCATATGAAGTGGCATATCTCTAACGACTCATTGGGCAGAGTAATGAAAAGATAGGATAATATGTAGGTTAAGAAGTTTAAATAAGTAGTAATTACGTAGCCCGATCTGACTTGTCATTATTTACATTGCCCTGGCATTATTAGATAGTTCCCTGATTAATCACTCGGTCCATAACATACCTATACATAAAAAAAAAACCCCGAAAAAAGATATACAAAAATATACAACGATACTATAATATAGCACTAGTTTAAACTTAAATATCAAGTCTCAATTGCGCCGCACTGAATGATTACAGTATAATCTGTATATCGTGGTCATGGTTTATTAAATTTTACGCACGACTCGCTGGTTTCTGCACTCTAAACCCAAGCATTTGGCGGGGCATGAGGCGTGGCGGCTAGTTACCCATACAACTCTAGCAGCCGTCACTCTGGCACACTCATCCAAACGGTCTCTACAAACGCCTATGTGAACCATAAATATTTTTTTAGAAATTACGACCTTATCACCATATAATTTCAAAAATTAAAATATAACTTCTATCATCCTCTTCTTTTTTACTTTATTAAATCAGTTGAATTTTATATTTTTAAAAGACAGATCAATATTTGCATGCACGTTTCTAGATGGTAGGACTACCTTTTTGGTTAGGAATCTGTCTGGTTAGGTATCAATCAGCCTTTTACCTATTTCTGGCGCGAAATAGCAGTACCCGCACTGCTGTGTACCGCTGTGAAACGTATAGAGAGCCAGTGTAATAACATCAGGTAGACTGTTAATTTGCTTGTCACTTTAATTTTATAAAAAAAAATACAGGCAGACCAAGATCTTCTATGGTAACCTAACCCCGCCTATACACCATCGGCCATGATTGACAACCACAGAATGCTACTTCCTTTGATGATTGTCCGAAAAACCGACACAGCAGCCATTACGCTCGATCATCACCGATCATAGGCGATTATAGGCGATCATGCCCTCCACACGATCGTGAGCGCTAGTATTCGTCCATCGTGGCCGATGGTGTATAGGGCCCATTACAGATGTAATCCTTTACAATATTGAATGTTTAAAATATGTTCATTGCTCACGTTTTATATAAGTATTACTTTATACGAGTATGTGAAATAAACTTGTAAATCTAAACCACTAGTAGGGGAGTCTTGATTTTACTCTGAGTCTTGATTTTATCGGTGTTGTAGTTTTTGAATGAAAATCAATGAAGTTTAATTAGCAGATAATACTTTAACATGGTTACTATGTTAGGTTAGTCAATAGTAGAGACGAAACCAAAATGGGTCATATATTGAGCCCTGAGTGATGCCTCTTGTGACATCGAAGAAATATACCATACACCTTTTTGAGTTCTGTTACTTAAGTATAACATCTTATGGAGAACACAATCGAAAGATTTGGATAGCTCACAAAAAAATACCAAAAGCATCATGTAAATTCTCCCATATTTAATCAACTCAGCACCAGCCGGCATCAACTGTAGAGCAACGTCTTTAAAACTGTACTGAATTTTTTAGAACAAAACTTTAATTAATTATATCAAAATACAATAAAAAAAATTTATTAAGTATTTATATAATAAAACATTAACGTCAAAGTTCGAGATAATTAAAAGTGAATAAACTGTAAAGTGATATCTTTCGTCTAACCTAAATAATTGTAATAATTTGTAGCAAACTCAAGAGGAACGGAAGAGTCCACTGATCTTTGAACTCACTTGTGTGTCACATACACACAAATCACATTTAGCTATTCTTATCTTATCATTTTCGTAAATGGTACGTAGTCATTTATCGCCATCTAACTTGCCTTTACTACTAAAAGTATGTAAGATTTATAATTAAACCAAATTATAAAATACATTCTTATATTTAAAACAAGATAGTACATAACAAATACGTTAAAATTAAACTAGATAGTTATTATTTATACGCGAACAAGCAACAAAAAATTCCATCGCTGTTTGATTATACAAAAAGAATGATGAAATATTAGAATATCAGTACTTATCGTTCGTTCACTTGCAAGAATCTACCACTACATGTAAAATTTCTGTTTTACCTACTATATTTACAACTAACGCATAAAATCTCACGACGAAGTAAGTAAAGATACAAGACAAACCTCCCTGAGCTAAATAAACATCTCATGTTGCACGCAAATCGTTAGCCGTGCAGACCTCGAACCATTGTCCAGTCAACTGATTGGTAACAACTAACTACATAATAGACACAATCTGTCTGCGATTTTAGTACTCGCACAGAATAAATATTAGTACTTTTATATATAAATAAATATTAGTATACGTCTCAGGCACAAAAATTGCCTCAATTTCATTCATTTTGTCTCAAACAAAAAAGCAATTTATTTCTAGATTGAAAACAGTATTTAATATTTTGGAGTAATATTTAATATTTCCACAATGCATTTTGAAGTCACGATTCTTAAGATTTCATAAAATAATCGCTTAACTTACACAATTAATGTGATATAATATAAATATTACGTGATACTTAAGTCAACCTATTCCGTCAAATTAAACAGAGATATGCGAAGCGACAGCTTATCATCCAATTTATAAGAGTACAACTACAATTTATAATTTAAAATTTTTGTAATTCAAATCAAGACAAGCTTTAAAAAGTTCCTTGACTTAAAACGCCACGGACACTTGATAACAACAAGATAATGAATAGTAGTAGTGGTAGGAAATTTACAAAAATTTTGTGTAAATCACCTTCATTTAACCCTAGAAAGATAATCTACGTCAAAATTATTCCCATGCCAACGAAATGCCGTGCCTTTTTAATTATTGTGAATAAGGCGTTATGTATTTCAGATATCTCATTCACCACTGGTAGCGATGTTAACGTCGTTGGGCGATCACGTCATTGAGGTAAGTGCCCACCGGTTTGAGATACGATAGTCACAGGAGTCAAAATTAAGTATGATTATCTTTTACGTGACTTTTACGATATTTAGTGAAATGGTTATTTGTGTTGTTTTTTTTATTGTATATATTAATTATTTTTATTTTTTAGTTATCCTGATACTGCTACGGCAAATGGGACTAGAGATTTGGATGAAGACCATATACTGGCCGCTCTTTTAGCCGAGCCGAGCCGCCCTGTGCTGACACCGACAGCGAAGTTGAAGATCACGAGAGCGAGGATAACGCCCCGAGGCGCAGAGGAAGAAGGTTTTGTGGACGAAGTGAGGTGGGAAGAGCAACAACTCCTTTCGAAATTAACCCCATGGAGGAAGAAAGCTCTGAACAAGCAACTGCCTCAACGGCTTCTCGTCGAATAATAACTCTGTCACGAAGAACTATTAGAGGTAACAAAAGACATTGCTGGTCGTCCTCGTCTTCAAGACGAGACTGAGATCTGCGCTGAGGCGCAGTACATCGTTAGATCTCAAAGGGGTCCAAAACGCATGTGCCGTAATCTTTATGACCCCGTTTTATGCTTTAACATCTTCTTTACTGATGAAATAATTTCCGAAATGGTAAAATGGACTAATGCTGAAATTTCCTTCAAAAGACGGGAAACTATGACTAGTGCTACATTCAAAGAAACAAGTGAGGATGAAATTCGTGCTTTGATCGAAAACATGGTAATGACTGTAATGAGAAAAAACAATAATAAGTCCACAAATGAGTTGTTCGACCGATCTTCCTCAACATTATATGTCTCCGTGATGAGTCGTGGTCGTTTTGATTTTTTGATCCGATGTATTAGAATGACTACAAAAATGTGCGGCTGGTACTGCGAGCCAATGACGTCTTTACTCCTGTTCGTAAAATATGGGATATGTTTATCAATCAATGTACAATAAATTATAACCCAGGGGCTCACGTTACAATAGACGAACAATTACTTGGCTTTAGAGATAGATTTAGGATGTACATTCCTAACAAACTAAGCAACTATGGACTCAAACTTGTCATGTGTGATAACGGTACAAAATACATGATAAATGCAATGCCTTATTTAGGAAAGGGAACTCAGACGAATAACTTACCCCTCGGAGAATATTATGTGAAAGAATTAACATAATATTTTCCTAGTTACCGTAATGTTACATGTAACAATTGGTTCACATCAATCCCTTTGGCAAAGAGTTTAATCCAAGAGCCTTATAAATTGACTCTTGTAGGA